GTTGTTAGGAGCACGTGCTCTCACCAGCTGAGCCATCCTGCCACCTGTTGGCAGCTCAGCAGCAGCTCAGCTCGGGCACAGCTCACTGGCCCATGTGGGAATTGAACCAGCGACCCTGTTGCTCAGAGCTCTCACTCTTAACCAACTGAGCCATTCAGCCGGCACCCCCATAAACTTTTTTTTTAAAATGGGAATGAGGTTCTCTTGCCATCTCTATTTTATTAAAAATATTCTGAGATACAAGAGAAATAGTTTAAAAATCTGTTGACATTTAAGCTCAACATGAGTTAATTAGTATTTTCTCAATGCTGTGCAACTGAAACAAAATAAGATGGCAATTGTCATCTAAATCTAATTTCAAGTTTATGTTTTTTAAACCAGCCTCACTGTTCTGTTTGATATTATCAGTAATTGCTATACAACAGAACTTATAAAATAAATGTCTACTTCTAAAATGCCCTTTTATCTGTTTTACATATTGAAACCCGGCTCAAGATTTTGTTTTATGTTTTTAAAAAGTCAATTGCTAAAAACAAATTAGAAAATGGAATTAGAGTTAAGCAAATTCTTAACTAGAAACAACACATTGGTGCCTATTAATCTCCCAAGGAAAGAACTGCCTGGGTTAGTCATAATATTTGACAACTGTGTTTGTCTCTGCAGAGTTCAGCACATCTTGGGAAATCTTATTATGCAGCTCGTTTTGGGTATTCCCTTGGAAATGGTCCACAAAGGCCTCCGAGTGGGGCTGGTGTACCTGGCAGGAGTGATTGCAGGTTAGTGTTCTGAAGGCAACGTGAAATCAACACCTCTGGACTCTCAGGAGGTAATATACAAAGCAAAGGTAACAAATGTTGATAATGGGTGTCTTATTTAAGATGCATTGTACTCCCAGTATGTGCTAGGAAACCTGATAAGCCTTGGAGATAAGTTAATTAGAGATATTAGTCACTCATTGTGACTATCCTCAGGTATCTATTTCACAGTCAGACAGGGTTTTGCACAATTGGGAACTGTGAGTAGTTTGGTGCCTACTTGCATATATTTGGTAAAGGCCTAAGGCCAAATCATGACGGCGCTTATGTGTCAGATGAATGATTTTTTGGGAAGTAATGTGATCAAATTTGCATTTAAGAAAGATAGCTTCAAGAAAAGGTAGAGATAGTTAAAGGGGCCCAAAGACTAAGTAGGGACTAGCTGCAAACAACAGTGACCTCTAAAATGGGATGTGCCTAAGATGATCCAGTACAGTGTGGGCAGAAAATATTAGAACTCCCATCCATCTGTTTATTTATTGGAAACATTTAAAAAAATTAAACTTTTTATTTTGAGATAACTACAGATTTACACTGCAGTTATAAGAAGTAAATACCTGGAGGTCCCATGTACCCTCTAACCAGTTACCCCCAATGGTAAGAGCTTGCAAAGCTATATAGTACAATACCACAACCAGGATAGACACAAAGATACAGTCAAGGTCCAAAACATTTCCAACACCACAGCTATATTCTCTTCCCTCCCACCCCTATACCCTTCTTTACCCCTGGCAACCTCTAATCTGTTCTCTATTTCTATAATTTTCTCACTTCAAGAATGTTCTATAAATGGAATGATACAGTATAAAGCTTTTTGGGATTGGCTTTCTTTACTCTGCATAATTCTCTGGAGATTATCTGGGTTGTTGCATGTACCACTAGTTGATTTTTAATGCTGAGTAGTATTCTATGGTATGGCTATACCACCATTTGTTTAACCCTTCATTTATTGGAGGGTATCTGGGTTGTTTCCAGTTTTTGGCTATCACAAATAAAGCTCTTATAAATATTTGCATAGAGGTTTTTGTGAATATCAGTATAGAGTTTTGTGAACCTGAGTTTTCATTTCTCTAGAATAAATGTCCAAGAGCCCAGTCGCTGGGTTCCATGGTAGTTGCATGTTTAGTTTCATAAGAACCAGCCAAAATGTTTTCCAGAATGGCTGTTCCATTTTACATTCCTCCTAGTATTGTATAAGAGATTCAGTTTTCCACATCCTTATCAGCATTTGGTGTTGTCACTATTTTTTTATTTTAGCTTTGCTCATAAATCATAGTGATATCTCATCATGGTCTTAATTAGCACTTCCCTAATGGCTGATGATGTTGAACATCTTTTCATGTACTTATTTGCCATCTGTATCTCCTCTTTAGAAAATGTCTGGTCATGTCTTTTGCCCATTTTCTAATTAATTATTTTTCTTTTACTGTTGAATTTTAATTATTCTTTATATATTCTAGATCCTAGTTCTTTGTTGAATATGTAGTTTGCAGATACTTTTCTCTCAGTCTGTAGTTTGTCTTATCATTATCTTAACAGGGTCTTTCAAAGAGCAAAAGTTTTTAAGTTTGATGAAGTCCAATTGATCATTTTTTCCTTTTATGAATCATGCTTTTGGTGTCATGTCTAAGAACTCTTCACAGAGCCCTAGGTCTTAAATATTTTCTCCTATAGTATCCTCTAAAGTTGTAGTTTTATGTTTTACGTAATATGTGATCCATTTGAGTTGGTTACTTTTTATATAAAGGTGTTTAGATTGAGGTTCTTTTTGTTTGTTTATTTGCCTATGGATATCCAATTACTTCAGAACAATCTGTTAAAGACTACTGAATTGCTTTTGCACCTTTGTAAAAAAATTAGTTGGCTGAAATTGCGTGGGACTATTTTTGGGTTCTCCTTTTTGATCCGTTGATTGATGTGTCCATCCCTTCACCAATACCACAGAGTCAGTGCCACTGCAGCTACATAATACGTCTTGAAATCAGTTAGAGTGATTCCTCTCATTTTTTGCTCACTTAAAAGATTAGTTTATGCATTTTTCTTTTTACAAAAAGATGGTGTCTAATTTGCTGCCTTTTTTTCTGTGATAACAAAAGGCTTTCAGCAGTAAGCTATCTAACAGATGTTGAAAAACAAGCATGGAACATATCCCTTTGAGGACATAATATCATTTTTCTTTTAAGGAGTAAGAATGTAACTACTTTTCCAAAAATATTCTTGCTATGAAAAGGGCATTTTGAAAACTGATCATTAGAAATCATTCCATGTTTCTGAGATTTTGCTTCTGAAAAGTGATGCAACAACTCTTCACTTTCACACTGAAAAAGCTGGGAAACAATTTTCTAAACTGTTTTGAATTCTCAGTGAAGAGTTTTAGTACCTTTTAAACTTATTATAATGCTTGCTGATTAGTTTGCAAGAACTAATGACTGACATTAGGAAAGGTGGGAATCGTAGTCAAATTACAGCAAAATTTTTACATAATTGGAATAAATACAGCTAATGATGCAATTCTTCCATTTTAAATTACACATCATTTTTAAATTTTACATTTTGGCTATGACAGTGATTAAGAGAAAATATCTATAGACAAATAACTGAATTTAGAAGTATAAGTAGTCTCTCCTTGTCCACTGGGGATACACTGGGGATACACCCGGTGGGTGCCTGAAACCGTGGATAGTACCAAACCTTATGTACACTGTTTTTTGTATACATACATATCTATGACAAAATTTAGTTTATAAATTAGGCACAGTGAGAGATTAACAACAATAATAATGACATAGAACAATTATAACAATGTACTGTAATAAAAGTTATGTGAATGTGGTCTCTCGAAATACCTTATTGTACTGTATGTACAGTGGGGGTATGCTGGACAAAGCCATGATTCATGTTCTGGGCTGGATAGAGCAGGATGGTGTGAGATTGTATCATGATACTCACAACGGCACTCAGTTTAAAACTTATGAGTTGTTTATTTCTGGAATTTTCCATTTAATATTTTCGGACCATGGTTGACTGTGGGTAACGGAAACTCTGGAAAGTGAAACCATGGATAAGGGGGGACTATTGTATCTGTATTTCTGTGTCATGAGATTTAACCAGGATTTAAAGAAACAGTGAAGCTTATTTAATAAAACTACTCATTGAAAGATTTTGCTTAAATTAAAAACTATTTTCTTAGAGCAGTTTTAGGTTCACAGCAAAATTGAGAGGAAGGTAAAGAGATTTCCCAAACACCCTTGCCCCGTGCATGCACAGCCTCCTCCTTATCAACCTCCCCCAACAGAATGGTACATTTCTTACAATTGATGAGCCTACATGGACACATCGTAATCACCCAAGTCCATAAAGGATGGAATTCACTCTTAGTGTTGTACCTTCTACTATGGTTTTGGACAAATGTGCAATAATATGTATCCATCATAGTATCATACTGAGTATTTTCACTGCCCTAAAAATCCCCTGTATTCTGCCTAGTCATCCTGCCCCCCACCCCCAACCCCTGGCAACCACTGATAGTTTTGCCTTTTCCAGAATGTCATATAGCTGGAATCACATAGTGTGTATCCTTTTCATATTGGCTTCCTTCACTTAGTAATATGTGTTAAAAGTTTCCCCCATGTCTTTTCATGGCTTGATAAGTTTTTTTTTATACCAGTAATGAAGTAAAAATAATTTTAAAACATTGTGTAATTAATATGTCCCATCCTTTAAAATTCTATTTTTCTGTGTGTGTTTTTAAAAACATATTAGCGCAGCAGTACACAAACATGTAATTTATAAGGACGTCAACATACCTACATTGCAGTGGATGGCTGTGTTAGTTTCTTGGGGCTGCCATAACAAAGTGCCACAAACTGGATGGCTTAAAACAACAGGACTGCATTGTCTCACAGTTCTGGCGACTAGAAGTCTGACATCAAGGTGTCAGCAGGACCGTGCTCCCTCCTCTGATACCTGTGGGGGAGAACCCTTCCTTGCCTCTCCCTAGCTTCTGAGGGTGGCCATCAGTCCTTGGCTGGGAGCTGCAGCACTTCAGTCTCTGCCTCCATTGTCACATGGTGCCCTCCCTTCCAGTGTCCCTGCCTCTTATGACACAATCACATTGGTTCAGGGGCCCACTATACTCCAATATGACCTCTGTAATTAATCATATCTGTAATAGTCCTATTTCTAAATACGGTCACATTCTGAAGTACTGGGCGTGGGGCGTGGGGTGGTCAGTTAGGACTCAAGCATATCTTTTTGGGGGGCACAGTCGACCCATTGCAGTGCTCAGAATTTTTTACTGATCAAAGCTTTGCCTTATCCTAGAGCAGAGGGGATGGAAGCCACCATGAGATGGACTTGGCAAGGCTTTGTCACAGCTCCCCATCCTACTTCCCTCCTACGTTTGTGGATCCTGTTTGTCCACCTTCTACTTCTGTTCCTGCACACGCTTCTCTCCCCCTGACCTTAAAAACCTTTTGTGATGGTCAGGCTCTGCCTGGCTCCAGCATCTACATTCCTGTTTCCCCCACAACTTGATTTCAACCTGTGGAATCAGCTCTGCCCCAGTTTCGGAGAACGTGAAGAACCTGTTCGGATCCTTGCCTATTTTTGCAATAGGCAAATAGGCAGGCATCTCTACGCTACTCTGATCTATCCTTTACACTGCTGCTTGGGTCACCTTCCTCAAACACAGATAAGATCATATTATATCCTTCATAGAACACTTACAGTGGCCAAAAGAAAGCTGAAATGCCCCAGATTGCTCTGCACTACCCTCCACTGCCTGGCTCCATTGCCTTTCTTTTCTTTTCTTTTTTGCTTTTTGGAAGAATGGACTTCTTTACTAATGTTCAAAAAAGAAATTATACACAAAGAGGTTAGGGGAAGACTTGATGTAAAATGTTCCTTTTAACACTTTTTTTGGAGATATGATTGATTGACATACAAAAATCTATACATAT